ATAATTGATGCATTAAAGGGTTAATTAAATACACATGTTGTCTTTCCAGTTACTTTATCTGTAATAACGCAGACTGCAAACGCACCTAACAAACATCAGCAATGCAGGAATAAGTCAAAAACTGTTATTCTTGTTGTGGCCACTTGAGGCTGCGACCCTCACGCTTAAATGCCCAATAAAATTGCAATTAAAATCCAGTTTACAACCTTGTAAAAACAACATTTTTGGTCTTTATGGATAATAAGTTTGTTTTCTGATACTGGTAAATGCAACCTTGTGGCGGCGCACCAATGAGTGATGTCACAGTGGTAAGGTCTATCACATCCATACAGTCTATGGTGGGTTGAACTTTTCCTAGAATGTATCATCTGCTGAAAATTAGTACACCGGTATAATTTTAGCAGATAAAGCTGGTATTGGGTGTGCATCACACCCACTGGTGATCAGTTAACAACTGAACCACATGTTACATCACATGGATTCACAATAACAAGAGTCTCTCTGGTGTCCAGTGAATAATTGACAAAGAAAGGACCAAAGAAAAGATGATTAGACACAGGAGGACACTGAGAGACGGACAGTTATAAGAAAGCAAGATGTCCTTGAAAAGATAAGTGTGTGTGTGTGTGTGTGTGTGTGTGTGTGTGTGTGTGTGGAGGAAGATCGGGGTGATCAAAGCTATGGGAGAAAAGAGAGAAAAAAAGAGAGAAGGAGAAAGCTGATGGATTGACCAGCAGGAGGAGAGAGGGAGAATGCTGATAAAGAGAGAGACAAACAGAGAGGCAGAGAAAGAAATATAGTCCTCCCTCGTGTGGCCTGTCCAGAGTGTCCGGTCTACGAGGCAGTAAATCGCCCCGGTTCAATGTGTGCTCTCCAAACGCTGCCGCACGTTATTGATAAATCAGTGTGTGTTAATGAGAGGAGCTGATGTGCCCTGATGTATCACGACACAACAATGAGCCTCGGACACACTCACACACACACACAGAGTCAGGCTGAAGTGTGCATGCCCACTACTGTCACACTGTCATTCGTCTTTTGTCTCTGATACAAATGCATGCACATTTTCTCCCTCTGCTGCACACACACACACCAATTTGCCGTTGCTGGATGAACACTTGGCCCCCGTGCTGCAGAAACAACTCCGAGTGTTATTCTATCCTGTTAACAGAAGAGAGGAGGGTTTCCACAGCAGCTCCAGCCGGCAGTCAGAGGACAAGACAAGCTATACTGGTTTCGCTTTGATATCCAATAGGCGGCTTAACATCCTCATTAGATCATATCAACCCTGCATACACACACAAGCACAAAGCCGGGGTGAAATTATCTCTCTCCTACACACTCCACCTAAATTATCATAAAATCTCATCATTTGTTTGTGTTTGTCCCTGTATGTGTGTGTGGGTTTGCGTGTTTGTACTTGAAATTGTGTCTCTGCTCAGGGTGGTTTGTGTATGTGTAAGTGTGTGTGTTTGTGCGGGGCAAGATGACCTTGTTATAAGCTGAGTGGGCTGTAGTGCTGGGGCATCATTAGTATGGTTTAGGTGAGGGTTAGAGGGTGTGTGTGTGTGTGTGTGTGTGTGTGGAGGTGCAGGAGTGAGATAGCGGGGAGAGACGTGGGATGACAGTAGAAGAGGGAAGGTAAGGGGGAGAGGTATGTGGGTCAGGCCAGGACACACAAGCACACGTCACTCCGGCCGTCACTACAGCGCAGGTACAAAGCGAATGTTTGAGGACACATACGTGCGCACGCACACACAATTGTTTCAGAGTACACCTCCTCCTCTCCTGCAATAGCCTCAAATGGTCTTCAACAAAGGGAACCTGAAGTATCCAGTCACAATGTAGTGACGTACTAGCAGAGAGCGGTTGACACACGATAGCGTAAACACGCACGCTTACAGGCATACGGGAAGACTGAGGCACACGTTTGAGGTGTCTGCGGAGAGTCCCTGACACACTGGTCTGTAAATACGGTGGGCAGATTGTTAAACTGGCACACAGCAGCTCATCTGTGCTGACTCATGCCACACAACTCTCTAGATTTGAAGTTCTCCATCGGTTAATGTATTCAAAATGGCACTACAAGATTACATAATTAAATGAACCCTGGTAGGCTGAATAAATCATTTCACTGATGCTTTCTGCTTACTTGTAGAATATGGCATGTTGTGTGCTTCGTCAAAGGATTGAATCCCCACCTAAATTTGCACCAAGCTGTGTAATCTCCTTTGGGGTTCCCTGGAAAAGACCTGCAGCACATCATAAGTCGTATCAAAACTACCAACTTTTCCACATTTTTCTCCAATAGGTTGTATCAGAACATTCAACAATAACTCGAGCTGTGTAACATTCGCTATAGAGTAGGAAGCAAAGATAGATTAACTTCCAGGTTCTTAAAGGTAAAGTCAATGTAGAAGCACTTTAACCCTGCAATCTCTTCAATAACCAGCAGACTAGTATTATTGGCTTTATTTTTAAACACACAACAAGACCCATCAAACATTTTAGACTTCCTGGAACTAAAACGGTCCAGTTACTTCAGATGGAAACAAGTAAGGATGACAGAGACAGATTTTTAATGAACAATGGAAAAAACAAGGAAAGAAAGCAGCACAGATCACATTGCAAGTGGTCTGATGTTACAACGTTGGCTCAGAGTTAAAGATTCACTGCTGCTTTCTGGTGAGTTGTGGACTTGAGTGAGTTCATGGTGCTCTGGGGTTCATCAGTGTTTCTCTACCTGCCTTGGCGATACTTGCACATGTGCACCTTATTCATAATAAGTTCATGTGTTTAGCTTCTTTTTTTTTTACTGTGAAAGCTCTCGTGTTGTAATATGTCTGTAGTTAAATCTGGGCTGAATTTAATTTAACAGTCTCAGAGTTAACAGAATCCAATAAAAGGTAACCAGAGCCAAAGGAAGCTCATGTCAGATAACAGCAACCAATGAAAATACATGACTATTCAACAGACTGTAAGCCACAGCATGCAGAATAAGCCAAAAGGAGGCAAATGAAGCCCATGGAAACAATGGAAGGCAGTTGGAAGCAAAGTGAAGGTAAGCTGTAAGCGAGCTGGTCTGAAGTGATGCCAGGAGGAGGAAGAAGAGGAGGAGGTAGAGGCCACAGCTCGAGAATATTCTAGTTGTTTATTCCTGGCCAGGGGTCAACTGTAGCCTCGGGAAAATCTCTGAGAGGGAGGGAGAAACTCACACACGATGAGGATTCAAACTCGCACTCACCAGCTAGCATACACACAGACACACGGGGGGGGGGCCATGACACATGCACACATGATGAAGATATCTTGTCACACACGGTGCTCATCACAGGCTTCTGTAGATCATAACTTGAAATGGAGAAGCTGGTAATGTGTCTCAAACCACAGCCTCCATACGTGCCCGTGATTACGATAATAAATCCACAGGAGTGTGAGAAGCAGTGAAGCCAGCAGGATGTAAATGGCTTTAAACAATGGGAACGGTAGCGCACGTGGCCTTTTCCCGAGGAGCTGGCAATGCCACGGCCTGTCCGACATATTTTACAACCATAATTATAATATAGAGAGCAGCTGCCTCTATGGCAGATGCTGCTTCACACGCCAGAGGTTTCCCTACGTAATTATCACAATGAACTCGGCATACCGCTAATAAATATCACACAGGTGCACAGGAACATGCATACTTTGCACAGAGTAGCAATAAAGGACAGCGGAGGGCAAGTAGACGGGAAAAGGCAACGTCCGAACTGGTCGGTCGACTATCACGTCCGGTCACACACACAACTGTTCAGATTGTCTAAAGTTTTATTAATAATGTGAAACATAGTAATGACAGCAGAATGACTGTAACACAGTCAGTTCTTGTTTTG